GCGGCTTGGGGGAGAGAGAAGGTTCCAGAGCCCTGATTTCAGGGGAAGAAAGCCCACCCCTCTGAGGCGGCTCGTCCCACACCCCAAAACCAGCAGACATCTTGCAAACAGAAATGAAGCCCTGGGAGTGGGGCACCTTTTATAGAGGAAAGTCCCGCCCCAGCTCCTGATTGGTCCATGTTTATGCAAATGAGGAATCCAAACACACAGTTCAGATTGGCCCAAATAGCACAGTCCTGATTGGCCAGAATCATACAGTCTGATTGGTTGTTATAGAGCAGCTCTGATTGGTCAGTGTGTATGCAAATAAGGCCATAGTTCATTGGTCAAAAGAAATACCAGGCCTCAGACCCCAGGCTCAGGGGTTGAGCATCGACCAATCAGGAACGGGGGCGGGACTTTTCTCTATAAAAGGTGCCCCACTCCGGGGCTCCCCCAGTTTACAAATGTTCCCTTCGGGGAGTGGGGTCTTGGGGTGGTGGGGACCCGGCGGTGGGCTTCCTCCTCTTGAAATCAGGGCTCGTGGAGTCCACTCTCTCCTCCAAGCCGCCCAGGACACGGGCTGGCGCCTCCCATGTGGCCGCCACCCGCAACTGTGGGGGTGCCCCTCCGCCCGCCCAGCCTACACGCCAGACCTGCCTGTTGGCACAGTCAGGGTCAGAGGCCTGGCTCCTGAGCTGGGGAGACACCCCCCCACCCCCACCCGCTCGCTGCTCCTGGAGGGATGGCCCGGACCGTCCTAAGTTTCTCCTGAGGAAGGCTCAGCCCTGCAGGGTCCCCTCCCCGTGCAGAGCCCCCCCTTCCTTTCCTTCCTACGCCACCTGGAGTGTCCCCCCAGCCGCTCCCCGCGGTCTGCCCGGCTGCGGCTGCAGATGGTCTGCGTTCCCCGGGGCCGAGTCCGGCGGCGGCTTGCTGTTCCTAAGGTCCCTGTGCTCGGGGGCCCCAGTTCCCCCCTCTGTCCCCTCCTTCATTAAAGATCCAATCCCGCCACAGCCTGGCCTTCCGGGCCCCGGCTCCCGAGGCTCCGTGACCATTTGTTGTTTCTGGTTTTCCCCAAACAGACATTTTTCTAACCAATCTGTGCTCCCGGCGCCGTCACCGTCCACATGATATTTATTCCTTCCTTCCTTCCTGCCTGCCGGCTGCCTCCGAAAGCTCTTATCTTCAGCGAGATAAGCTGCCTTCCAGCCTGCCCGCGCACCCGCTCTCACTTCTCATCGCCGGAGCATCTCAGGGTGCCTGGGTGCACGGCACCCATTTCGGCTGAGACATGCTCGCCGCCCGCCCTCCCCCTCCATCGCCCCCCATCTCGGGGGAGAGCAGGACAGTCACAGCCTTGGGCTCAGGAATGTGAGCACCCGCCCCCAGCATGGGGCAGGCCTGTCAGCAGAGGGAGGGAGGGAGGCCACCAAGCGCCCAGCACCCTCTGTGGGGACAGTGCCTTGTGCCCTGCTGCTCAGAGGCCTGGGCCCACCTGCTGTCGCCCATTGCGGGTTGTACCTAGAGGCGGGCAGGGTTGGGCCTAGCTCTGCACCAACCACGGAGCCTCTGGTCTGAGGGTGCCAGGCACAGAGGGTAGGCGTCTCAGCGGGCGGGCCTGCAGGCAACCAGAGGCCTCGGCTGAGTTCTCCGGGTCTCCCCAGGCCCCTGGCACAGTGTGGGCCTGACGTGGCCCTGGCGTGGCCCTGGCGTGGCCAGTTCCTGGCTGGGGAGCGTGAGAAGGCGCGCAGCTGCCTGAGGTCCGGGGGGCGGGGCGCTGCCCTCCCCGAGGTGGCGTGGCCGGCCGAGCCTCCGCGCTCTCGGCAGGAAATGCCACCCTCCCGCAGGGCCGCCTGACCCTCAGCGGGGTATGGAGGGTGCTCCCCGCGGGCACGGGAGCCCAGACCCCATCCCGCAGCCTCAAGGGCAGCTGGCGCGGCGAGGGAGAGGCACTCCAGGGCGGGTACGACAGACGCAGCTGGCCCCGTCCGAGTCTAAGCTCTGCCCAGTCAGGCCCGGCGCCGGGAACGCTCCCCCGTGGGTCCTGTGGCTGCTGTGGCCACGGACACAGTGTGGCGGCCGGAACACACGCTTCCTCTCTCAGCCCTGCCGGTCGGGGTCTCCAGGGCTGAGCTGGGTCCCAGGGCCGCCAGCAGGGTCCAGGGGCAGCCTGTGCATGGCCTTCCCCAGCTCCTGGAACCCCACATTCCGTGGTCCGCGGTCCTCCAACTTCAGCTCAGGTGTCACGCCCCGCCCTCCCCCGTCCTGCGATCACCGGGGCCCCAGGCCCCCCTTCCCATGCGGAGGACCCCCCCACGGGTCCCATCTGTGTCCTTAACTCCGGGGCCGAGGGGCGTCCGGGGGGCATCACCGGACCCACAACCCCATTCGGGTTACCCCTCCCTCGGGGAGACGGGGAACGGCTCATCGTGCCGCTGGGGGTGCTCCCAGGAAGCCTGGCCGATCACGGTGACTCATCCCAGCCCCGGCGCGGCCGGAGACGCTGAGGGGGGAGTGCATGGCGGGGGCGGGCGGGCGGGCAGTACCGCAGCGAAGTCACCGCTCCTTCCTCTCGGTCGCCTTCTCCCCTCGGGGGGACAAGGCCAGGGCCCTGCCAGTGCCCGCAGTCACCCCGGGACGGCCATGCTGCCACGGCTCCCGAGGCCTTGCCTCCCCGTGTTCAGACTCAGAGCAGAAGGCCCGTCCGCACCCACACGGGACGCTGTGGAGGCCCTGCCTGGTGGCGGCCTCGGTGTGAGGTGAGGGGTCCCGGGCTCCCGGATCCTTAGACGCAGACGGAGCCCGGCCCCGTGCTGTCCGCACGGAAGGGAGGCCAGAGGCTCCTTCGCCCCGGCCCCTGACCCCCCGCGGGATGCTGGATGCGGGCGCGTCCCCGCTGACCTGTGGCCCCGACCTGGCTCCGCAGGGGATCGCAGCTCCGGGCCTGGGAGCAGGGGGTGGGCTGCCGGCTTCGGGATCACTGGCTTCCCTGCCTGCCCGTCCCCCCTGGCGGGAGCAGTGGCCCAGCCCACCCCCTAACCGTGCCCCGGACGGGGGCAGGGGGTGCGGGAAGCAGGGACCGGCTCTGGGCTTCAGACAGACATGCCCACCTTGGCCTCTGCCACGGCCACGGGACGAGGGTGCTGGTGGCTGAGCATCGCCTGGCGACAACCCTGGGCCTGGGCGCTCAGGGGGGAACGGGGAGCAGGGCGGGGGCGTGACTGCCCCCCTGGCAAGAGGGGAACGGCCGATGCCCGGGGGACCACGCGTGAGCCCAGGTCTGTGGAGCGAATGGCCAAGCACCCGGCTGGCCACGGTGGTGAGGACTGATGTGACGGGAGAGGCCTACAAGGATCCTGTGAGGCGTGTGCGGTGCAATGACAGCGAGTGACACGCATCGCCACGCCGGGGCCACGGGCGGCCCACCAGGAGGAGGCCGGCTGTGACTGGCCCAGGCCCTGGGTGGGTGAGGAGGGTGGTCTCCCCTTCTGCCCCCTCCCCCCTCACACCCAGGACACGCCGAGTGCCAGGCCGGGCGCGATTCCCGCAGGATTAGCCGTGAAGTCTGAACCGCGAGCTCGGAGGGAGGCAGGGAAGCTCCTGTGCTGGTTCTCACAGGACACCAGCCCCCGAGGGTGAACGGAGGGTGGACCAGCACATGGAGAGGTGGCTGGGTAATTCAGGGATGGAGGGGCGGGTGAATGAATGCATGAGTGGATAGGATGGATGGATCGATGGACGAGTGGATTCTGCTCTAGCTAAGGCAGTGGGCTGGGCTGCCCTGCCCTGCAGTCAGCACCCCCCAGCTGCTCGCTGCCTGTCCCCTCAGAACGGCCATGTCACCCCGTCCCCCTGCACCTGCCCCCCTTAGAACGGTCATGTCACCCCGTCCCCCTGCACCTGCCCCTCAGGGCGGCCGTGTCACCTGGTTCCCTGCACCTGCCCACAGCCACACACGCCAGTCCCCCGGTCACCACAGCATGTGGGGGCCACCAGCCACCTCCCAGCCCGCCCTCCACGGCCACTGCCAAGTTCACTGTCCTGAAAAGGTCCGTTCTGGGCTCTGTACTCTGTCGGGCAGGGTCATGCCGGACTCAGACACACATGTAGCTGAGGGCGGGTGCTGCCTCAGGGCCTCCACGTGTTCATGACACGAGGGAGAGGTCTCAGGAGGTCACGGGCGTGGTGCTGGGAGGGACGCGAGGCGACTGGCCACGGCTGGACAATGGCCACCGTGCAGTCTTCCTGCCTCGTCCACTGTCCCCGCTCGCCCGCAAGGCCACGGTGGTCGGCTCCCTCACCACGGCGGGCAGGGCTGACCCCTCGGCTGTGCCAAGGCCCAAGCTTTCCCACGGACCCGGTGGCTGGGCCTGGCCGGGGGTCCCTCTCCTCAGGCCCAGGTCCCGGCCCCGAGCAGGCGGTCAGGACCACGGAGAACAGGGGCACTGATCTGCCCCGGATATCGGGCTGGCGGGACCTTGGAGGTCACCTGGCCCATCCTCCCGGCCAGAGGACACCTTCCCTGCGTCACTCCCTCCCACAGCGGGGAGCTCACCGCCTCACCAGACGGCTCTGTCCTGTCCCCGAACACGTCCCGCGGGCCCATGCGGCTGCCAGAGGCCCCTTTGTCCCACAGCCCCACTCCCAGCTGGACCGCCCTCCAAGTAACCATGGCAACAGCTCTCGGCGCTCCCCGGCTCTCGGGCAGCCTCCCTGCCAGAATGGGAGCGGAGTGCGGCTGTGACCACATGCCCAGGGTCCCCTGTGCCAGGGCCGCGGCGATCACACCTGCACTGCCTCCCCCAACAAGGCCGGGCGGGCCCCTCCGGGACACGCCCCTGGGCCCCCCTCCGGGACACGCCCCTGGACACGCCCCTGGGACACGCCCCTGGGCCTCCGGGACACGCCCCTGGGCCCCCCAAAGGGCACGCGGCCGGACCCCAACGCACAGGCGCACGGAGACCACCTCGGGCAGGTTCCCCGGGGCGGCGGCTCCCCGGCCCGGGCCGGAGCAGTCTCACCTGCCGGCGTCGAAGCTGTCGTAGGAGCCCACGGTGTAGTGCCGAAACAGCTTCTTGCTGCGGTCCGCACGCGTGTCTGCACGGGGAAGAGAAACACGCTCAGCAACGTCACGGCCCCGGGCGTGGGGACCACACCAGGCGGGCCGGGCCTCCCATCCGCCCGACCGATGTCACCCAAGACCCGCTCTCCCCACTTTGCAAATTCGGGGGACGCATATGCACCCCAAGGCACAAGCCTCGGGAGCTCTGTTCGCAAACAGGGCAGAGCCCCAGGGTCCTGGGCGCCAGGAGGGGGCGCCACGCAGCGCACAGAGGACCGTCCGGCCCCGGCTGGAGGGCGGCTGCCCGGGGCCGTGGAGCCACCAGCCGGTGTTCTCGGCTGCCTCCTGCACGCCCATGGGAGCCGCGGTGACTGCCTTTGGGAAAATGCTCATTGTTATTTTCCTGATTGTCATTGCTTTCTCCTGCACATGCACACCAAACAGCCGTGATGAACGGCCCTAATTAAGCTCCCCGCTTGCTTCCCTTGCTCAGCGGATTCAGACGTAAATTTCACGGGAAATGATGTGGACGCGGTAATTAGATTTAATAGATAGCTCAGGGCTGCGGGGGAGGGGGCATGTAGACGCAGATACGTGCGTCCTGATGTGCTGTCTTGCTATCTCCCCTCCGTCATAAACCCTCCCAGACAATACCCTCCGAGCCCTGGGAAAATACACAGAGATGACGCGCTGGCCTCGGGAAAGGGCTGGAAGTCTCTGGAAACCCTGTGACCTCCCTCCTGCCCCCGGCGAAGTCAGCAAAAACACAAGCTCCCTTTCTGCCCAGCCTGCAGCTGCCTTTGGGGCTTGGGGTGGAGCAGAGGTCCCACCGAGGACTACATTTCCCAGCACCCCTTGCACCCAAGCACAGCCGTGTGACTATTTCCCACCAATGGGATGTGAGCATGGGGGGTGGGGAGGGTCCCTTCTAAGCTTGGCACTGCCAGCTCTACCCTCTAGGCTTCTCCCAGCTCAAAGCTGGACACCAGGCCTGGAGGGCGGCGGGGTGGGGGGGCGTGACCCTGTCGGATCCCTGGCGGCTGACGTGAGCGGGAACCAGCCTCTGGCGCTCCGCTGCACACGTTCTAGGAAGGCGTTGGTTCGGCAGCCAGCCCTGCCCAGCGTCGAGCGGGCCAGGGGCCCGGGCGGGCTGCCACCTCCTCTCCACCTTTTCCCCATCGCTCCCTGCGGCTCCGACGCTGTGACACGCGGGTTCCCCGCAGTGACATCATCGCTGCCGCGGCCACCGAGGACACGGACCGGTGCTTCCTGTGCCCCAGGCCCGCACTCACTCACTGTCCCCCGTGACCGGCAGGAACGGCACATGGGGAACCAGCTAGAACGTAAGACAGGCTGATCCGCGCTGCCCACCGTGGTCGTTTGTTCTGATTCAACAAGGCACGCTCTCGCCCGGCTGGCAGGGATACACGGGGCCCGGGCGCTCCCCTCCCCGCTCGGAGCTGCCTGTGGCCGTGGACACACGACCCTGGTGCAGAACCAGGGCCGCCAGCCCTCGGAAGACACCAGCCTCAGCGTGCCTGCCGGCCCTCGAAAATCTCCAGACTGTACGCCGCCCATGTGGCATTTCCTTTGGCTACTTCCCCACGGAGTCCCTGCCCTGCTAGCCCACAGAAGCCTGATGGGGGTGCAGAGCAGGCCTCTGTGGGTGGCCTGCTGCCGGCAGGATCGGAGTAAACGCTCACACAGGATTCCCTCCGTCTCTGCTGAATTGGCTCAAGTAGTGACAGGCAGCCCGGACCCACGGACTGTCTGGTTACCTTAGGACCCGGGTGGCGGTGGGACGACCAGACCATTTCACGGAGGGAGGGTGCTGCCCAGGCAATGCCGCACCTGCTGACCGCATAGCCGGGATGAGCACCTCAGCCAGCAGGCGGCTCCCTGGCCCAGGCTCAGGAGCCCCAGGCTCACTCCCTGGCCCCTGGAGGGTCCGCATCTCCCAGGCTCCCTGTGGTGCTGGGGGGAGGGGGGTAGAGGGGGGGGCTGGCCTTGCTCCTCGTTACCAGCCCTGGTGTCCAACTCCTGGTGGGCGGTCGAACTGAAGGACGCCAGGGTGAAGCTCGCCGACCTGATCTACAGGATTTGCTGTGCGATCAGCACACCGAGCACAGCACACACCCTCCCCTGGGCGCGGGGCCGGCCCGGCTGCACGCACCGCCCCAGGCTGGGCCCCCGGACCAAAGCACCCCCATGTTCCGTGCCCCCCTCACTGGCACCCTGCATCCCGCACATGTTCCATCTTAGTCGTTATGGAGCCCCCGTGCCCCAAAGGAGGGACTGGAAGGAGACTGGGTGGGGACAGGGCCCAGCACCCCAGGGTTGGGGAGAGGGCGGAGCCTAGGGATGCTGGCTGTCCAGGGGCTGGGCTGAGGGCCCTGCAGCCACACGGGGCAGAGGGAGCCCTGGGCCAGGCCTATGGCGTCCGTGTGGAGCCGCGATGGCCAGGCCCTGGGGGGCCAGGTGGGATTGGAGCCCGCGTGTGGGTTCACTGGTGAGCTGCTGAGCTCAGGAAGCCAGGAGGGACAGGACCGGCTGTTAGATGCTGTTATTGCTCTTAATTGCTTCTGTTGCTTAAGCCCCAGGGCAGCTCTGTGCTGGTTGTCTAGGGAACTGATTGGTGCAGGTCCCAGCTGAGGTCAGAAGTCCCAGGTTCCAGGAGTGAGAGGGTGTGCAGTGACGTGTGCGTGCGTGTGTGTGTGTGTGTGTGTGTGTGTGTGAGAGAGAGAGAGTGTTTGCGTGCGTGCGTGCGTGCGCGTGCGTGCGTGCGTGCGTGCGTGCGTGTGTGTGAGTGTTTGCGTGCATGTGTATGTTGACTAGACAAAACCCGTTTCGGAAAGGGGAGTGCTTCTAGGCTCCGCCTACCCACAGTTCCAGACCTCAGGATTGTACCCAAACGCTGCCGATCCTCACAGAGGGCACTTTCCCATTGGCTTTTAGAGAGGGAGGGAGAGAGGGAGGAATGGAGAGGGAGGGAGGGGGTGGGGGAGAGACAGAGAGAAGCATCACCTGTTGCCTTCCGTACCCACACAGGCAGGAGACTGCCCGACGGGGAATCGAGTCGTGGCCTCCTGGCTCACAGGTCAGCGCTCAGCCGCGGAGCCGCACCAGCTGGCTGCCCCTCCCATAGCTGTGAGTCCTCCGCTCCCGGAAGCAGTCAGAGGCCAGGACCCGAGGCCCTGGGACCTCCCCCAGCTGCTCCCAGCGGCCTGGGCCGGGCGGTCTCTGCTGACGGCTGGAGCCCGTCGCCGACCTGTCAGGGCCTTCCCGCGGCAGGAGGCGCGGAGGCGGAGCTCCTGGGTGTTCTCACCGGGAGCCGAGCTCTCGGGCCTCATCTGGAGGCCCAGCGACGGCTCCCGGGGCGGGGGACCCCGTCACACTGCTGGCGGGCCTCACAGCCTCTGGGTCCCCTCGCGGGAGGGCATTTCCCATTGGCTTTTAGAGAGCGTGGAAGGACGGAGGAGGGAGAGAGAGGAACGTCGAGGAGAGAGACACAGGGACTGGCTCGCCTGGGGCCAGGGATCCCAGGTCCGTGCCCTTGGCCGGGGATGGAACCTGAGACCCCTCAGCCTGCAGGCGGCGGTCTAACCACTGAGCGACCGGGCCGGCTCCCTTGCCTCTCTGACTCCTGACCCCAAAGAGGCAGAGATCAAGGAGGACGCCTGGCAGGGTGGCGGGGGGCGGGGTGGGGTTCCCCGAAGGCTCAGCCATCTGGTGGGTTTAAGTCACAGGCCTCATGCTGCCCCCCCCCCCAAACGCAGAACGAGAACCCCAAGGAGGAAAGAGCCGGCGAGGAGATGCAGACGGAAATAACTCGTCTTTTTTAAAACCAAGGATGCGCCAGCTCCGTGCGAAGAGGAGGGGCAGGCGGAACTCAACTCGGGGAGAAGCTGGCGGGGGGGGGGGGGGGGGGGGGGGGCGCACACAGACAGGCCGCCCCGCCCTGGTCCGTGGGGCTGGGTGGCAGGACCGGGGGCCGTTGGGCTGGGGACGGCGGGCTCACTGTCACCTCCACCCTAGTCTGCAGACGGGGGGCCCCGGGGGGCTGACCAGGGCCCGGGGGGGTGGGGGGGCCAGGGGCACAGAGTGTGATGGGAAGCGTGTCGCCCCTCCCACAGGCACCACCTCGGCTGGGGCCCCGCGTTGACCCGCTTTGTGCGTGGGCTACGGGGCGCCGCCTGGGCGCTGGGCCCGTCCTTGCGGGGGGGGGGGGGGGGGGAGGGACGGAGGGGGGAGGGGAGTGGAGGGGAGAGGGGAAGGGAGGGGAGGGGAGAACCAGGAACCCATCTCTTTTCTTTCTTTCCTATTAGTCCTCACACAGAGGGGGGGGGGGGAGAAGAGAGATGTGAGAGAGACACAACGACCAGCTGCCTCCCACACATGCCCCAACGGGGGCCGGGAATCGAACCCGCGACCCTTCAGGGGCCAGAGCTGACGCTCTAACCACTGAGCCAGCAGCCAGGGCCCGGCTCCCAGTGACACAGATGGCTTCCTGGCGCCGGGCTCGGGCCGCTGTCACGGACCACCGCCCCCGAGGGGCCTGACACCCTCACGCCTCTGCGCCTGGGACCGCACACCGCCCAGCTCCCCGGCTCCCGCGGGGGCAGGGCTGGTGCCGCCGGCCCCACAGGCCCCGCGCCCCGGCTCCCAGCCCCCTGCCGAGTCGTGTCCCTTCACTGGTCTGACTCCCCTCCCGCTGAGAGAGCCTCTGGGCCACATGGTCATCCCCACCTTTTCACCTTTTTACAACATACTTGTATGACTTCAGGGGGGGGCGAGGGAGAGAGCTAGAAACCTCAGAGAGAATCATCTACCGGCTGCCTCCTGCACGCCCCCTAGTGGCGGTCAAGCCCGAAACCTGGGCACGTGCCCCGACCGGGGACTCGAACCCTGACCCCCGGTTCGTAGGTTCACACTCGGCCACTGAGCCTTGCCGGCCGCGATGCCTCCGTCCTGCAGACGGGGAATTGACAGGACGCTGCCTCCACGGTGGCCCTCCCGGCCCTCGGCCCCGCACCGG